ATCTCTATGACTCAGCCCACATCTGGTCTACAGAGGGAGTTCCCAGAATGGTCAGGGCTACAGGAGAGACCCTGTCTCAGAACAAAAACAAACAAAAGCTTTTAAAAAATGAAAAAAAAAAAGTGGAAGCTAGTCTTCAAGAAGGCCAGTGGCAGTCTGGACGCAACTCAGTTGCAGAATGTGAGCTCAGCATACGTGAAGTCCTGGGTTCGATCCCCAGAACCATGTAGACCATGTACGGAGGTGTACCTTTGTTAGCTCAGCACTGAGTAGGAAGAGGCAGGAGGATCAGAAGTTCACAGTTGGGACTGGAGAGATGGCTCAGTGGTTAAGAGAACTGGGTTGCTCTTCCAGAGGACCTGGGTTCAGTTCCCAGCACCCACATGGTGACTCGTATACCTTCCCAGGATCTGACAACCTGTTCTGACCTCTTCTGGCTCTTGCACACACATCAGACACATAATCTCACACAGGCATACACATACACATAAAAAATATAAAATTAAATTAAAAAAAAGAAAACAAATTTCTTGCTCATTTACTAGCAAGTGCTGTTTAGAAGTAATTGGAGCCAGGATGGAGATTTAGCTCAGTGAGAAAGCAGTTGCCTAGTGTACACAACGTCCTGCGTTTAATTCTTAGCACAGGGGACTAAAAAAATTAAGAAAGAAAAAATAAAACCAATAAAAAACAGTGGGATTCGGGGCTTGGGAGATGCCTCAGCAGGTAATGCACTTGCCTTGCAAGTGGAAGAACCTGAGTTCAATGCCCAGAACTCAGGTTAGAAAGCCTGGAGTAGTATACTCCTGAAATCCTAGCCTTGGCAGAATGGGGAGCCGAGAGGACTGGATTCCTGGAAGTCACAGACCAGCTAGCCTGGCCTACATGGCAAAGTTCAGACAAATGACAGACCCTGTCTGTCTGTCTGTCTGTCTGTCTGTCTCTCTCTCTCTCTCTCTCTCTCTCACACACACACACACACACACACACACACACACACACACACACACACTCCTCCTCCTGTGCTAGGGGGAATGGCTCAGGGGTAGAACAGTTGCCTAACATACACAAGGTCCTGAGTTCAATCCTCAGCAGCACAGGAAGTAAGGTTCTAGTATTCTGCCTTCCTGGAAACAGTTCACAGAGTTCCATCCCAATAGTTCTGGTTGTCATTACAGTGCCTCAAGCTGGCAAGTCTCCAAGGATGAGATGAATGGGGGAGGGTTAGTCACAGAATCCAGAGAGGTTCACCATGATGGAACGATACAGCACAAACTCCCAGGCTTCGAACTGTGGTGATATTGTGTTCCCCAATATATCGTGCACCCTAATAAATTTATCTGGGGTTAGAGAACAGAACAGCCACTAGATATAGAGGACAAAAAATGGTGGCACACACGCCTTTAATCCTAACATTCCAGAGGCAGAGATCCATCTGGATCTCTGTGAGTTCAAGGCCACACTGGAAACAGCCAGGCATGGTGACTCATGCCTTTAATCCCAGAAAGTGAGGGCAGAAAGCAGAAAGGTATTTAAAGCATGAGAATGAGGAACTAGATGCTGGTTAAGCTTTTAGGCTTTGAGCAGCAGTTCAGCTGAGATTCATTCTGGATGAGGACTCAGAGGCTTCCAGTCTGAGGAAACAGGATCAGCTGAGGAACTGGCGAGGTGAGGTGGCTGTGGCTTGCTCTGCTTCTCTGATCTTCTAGCGTTCACCCCAATACCTGGCTCCGGGTTTGATTTTACTAAAAAGACCATCTAACAATTCGTGCTACATCAAACTTTTTATGGAGCCTTAAGCCAAGGCAGGAACCTTGAAGAACTTCAAGGCAAGAATGAAGATTTTTTTTCTTCCATTTTTTGTATGAGTTTACGTAGATGTGTACTATCTGCTTGTGCTGTAGGTGCTCTGCACACAAGTGCACATGCATGTTGAGGTCACTCGGCACACATGTACACATGCATGCTGAGGCTGCTCTGCACACATGTGCACTTGCATGTTGAGGCTGCTCTGCACACATGTACACATGCATGTTGAAGCCGCTCTGCACACATGTGCACATGCATGTTGAGGCCGATCTGCACACATGTACACATGCATGTTGAGGCTGCTCTGCACACATGTGCACACATGTTGAGGCCGCTCTGCACACAAGTGCACATGCATGTTGAGGCCGCTCTGCACACATGTGCACACATGTTAAGGTCACTCTGCACACATGTGCACTTGCATGTTGAGGCTGCTCTGCACACCACACATGTTGAGGCCGAAGTTCACGTCAGGAATCACCCTCAATCTGACTCAGAGCTCACTGATCTGGTGAATCTCAGGCTCTGGCCCACTGTCTCCAGGGAGCCCGTCTCCACCTTCCCATGCTGAAGTTCAGCAGGCTGCTGTGCCCACTGGGCATTAATTTGGGCTCTGGGGATTGAAACTCCAGATCTTACTGCTTGCAAAGCAAGTGCTTTAACCACTGGGCATCTTCCTAGCCTAAGAATTAAAACTCTGAGGCTCCATCCCCAGTACCAAATCAAACACACAGACAAAACACACAGAACACACAACACCTCCTACCAAGAACTCTCCAGACTCCATTTACAGTTACAACTCTCATGTTCCTATATTTTTGTTGTTGTTGTTTGTTTTTTGGTTTTTGGTTTTTCGAGACAGGGTTTCTCTGTGTAGTTTTGGTGCCTGTCCTGGAACTTGCTCTGTAGATCAGGCTGGCTTTGAACTCACAGAGATGCTCCTGCCTCTGCCTCCTGAGTGCTGGGATTAAAGGTGTGTGCCACCACCTCCCGGCTTAAATGTGGCTGGCCTCGAACTTGTGATCCTCCTGCCTCCACCTCCTTCAGCAAATTCTACCAGAGTGTTCCACCACAATGGGCTCATTTTCCTATCTTTATGTGTCTAGGTCCTATTTTCCAAAAGCTATCCAGTAACTCACACCCACACTTTTCTCACAAAGAAGCCTGGAAAAACACGTCCTCAGGCACAGTAAAACCTTGCTGGGACCTCAGATAAGAGCAGCCACTGTTTCCAGTGGGAAGTAAGTGGAAAGGAAGGGGAGGGGCCGAGGTGCCACACTGGTGGAGTGTGTGCCTGGTCGTGCACAAGGCCCGGGTCCAACTACACACACACACACACACACACACACACACACACACACACACACACAACAACAACAACAAATAAAAATAAATCTAACAAATACATACATATATATAGACACATACATACACACACAACGTACAAATAAAAATAAATCTAAAATACATATATATATATATGTATGTATATACACACACATACACACATATGCACAGATACATCCCAGCTCCAGCCCGTGGCTCCCTGGCTTGCTGCTTTGGGGGCTGTAGCAAAGCAGTGTGTCACGGAGGGAGTACATGATAACAGAAGCTATCTACCTCTCGGTAGACAAGAAGCAAAGTCAAGAAGAGAACAGCATCTCCACATCCCCTGTGAAGGCCCAGAGAGACTATACCCCACCAACTCCGACAGCTTCACAGGCTGCTGATCCAAACTCCAGTCCTTACACTCTCAAGGCAAATGCGTTAACCACTGAGCCTCCGCACGAGACTCTTGGCGGGCATTTCATCAAATCCTAGCACCGCCCCCACCCCCACAGAGAGTATCTGAAACACTTCCTACTGGACTTGGCACTGACAGTGGGGGTGGGTGACCAACGTTTTCACGGCTGCATTGATGCTGGAGTTCTGAGAAGAGAAAGGGCCTCCTCTGGACCATAGCACTAAGAAAGTTCCAGAATCAGGCTGGGGATTTGGCTCAGATGGTAGAACTCTTGGGCATATATAGGAAGCCCTGGGTTCCATCCCCAGCACTGCATGGTAGAGCACGCAGTTACCACAGCACTCAAGGCTAGAGGCAGGAACATCAGAAGTCCCAGGTCAGCCTGGGCTACAGAAGACCGCGTCTCACACACACAAGGTCCAGCGTCCATCCTTGGCTCAAGTCTCCTGTTCTTCCAATATTCAACGCCTCCTTTCCCGGTCCCCCTGCTTCTCACCACTTCACAAAGCCAGGCTTAAGAGGCACCGCTTGTGTTCTCAGGCTTGACATCCAAGAATCTTGCTCTGTTTAAGGCAACCTTCACTTGCACATCTAAAACGCATGTCCTCCCTTCCTCTCTGATAAGCCTTGTTCATTCAGTATCCTCCAAACTTAAGAAAAGTGATTAGGGAATCAAGGCAGAGCAAGTTCTCTGTCAACCGCGGTTGACGGCAAATCAAAGAATAACCTGTCCACTGGATACTCCAGACCCTCTCCCAGAAGAACACCCTGCTATCATCCAAGTCCCAAGGTTCTAGTATTCACTCGGAAATGGACACAGTGGGAGGAAGACGCCGCTGTGGGTGTGGCGCTCTCTGGGACTCCAGGTCGGAGCCATGCACCCGGCGCCAACACGCCCGTGCCGGGAAAACCCTTCAAGCCACCGTGCTTCCAGAAGCCACCTTCGATGCTAGTCACGCTCCGAAAGGTATTTGGAGGATAGGATCAAAAAGTAATTCACAACCAACCAAGCTCCTTCCAAACTTCAGGAACCCAGCCCCCAGGTCACCCAAGTACAAGTTCCTACCTTTAAGAAAGAAGTTTGGGCAACATTTTATCGCTCTGAAAGGGACTGAGGAAGCGGACCAACTCAGGCGGGAGGCCCGAAAAGGCAGGAAGTGGTCATTTGTGGGAAAAGGGAAGGACAGGCGGCAAAGGAAGAGAAACTGGGGCGCCTCCCCCATGTCCTCAGCACCCCCAGATCCGGCTGGGAGGCCCTCCGGCTTTCCCAAGGGACACCTCCCAAGCCAAGCGGGGCGCGGCCCGGGGCGTTGTCCTTCTTCAGGGGACATGTCCCTTCCTCCCAACGTGGAACTAGGAGGCCCGCGATCGCGCGGGGAGCGCACCACTTCCCTATCCCAGGGCGCACCCCGCGCCTACGGTTCCCTGCGGGGCGCAGCATCCTTACCTGGGGGACCCGTCCCACCGCGGCTCCGGCCGTGCGCACAAACAGACTCGCCGTTCTCACGCGCGCCCCGCCCCGTCCTGGGGCCGGACCCCAGCTGTTCCGACTCGATTTGTCATTGAGCAGTCGTGAGCTCGCGTCCCCACCCCCCGGAGCGCGTTCCCGCGGTCCGCCCGGCAACCCTGGCCTCTCCAGAGCCGGCCCTCCCTTCCGCTCTCCGAGGCCACGCCCACCGACCAATCCGAAGCGGCACCTCCAAACTTCCGCCAGTGAGGAAGCGCCTTGAGTGCAGGGGCGTGGCCCCGTGAGGCGGCCCCGCCCACCCCTCCTTCCTTTTGGCTCCTCCGCGGGACGAGCGCACGTGACCGCTGCTGCAGTGGCGGAGCTTGGGAACTGGTCTGGGGACGCCGGGCGTGGGCGGGTGCACTCCCGGGGAAGCCAAAGCAAGGCCAGAGTAGTGGAAAAAAAAAAACCGAGAAGGAGAGAGCTGATAGACAGAATCCAGTGAGGAGGACGAGGCGGCCAAGTGTGCCCTTGCGCCCTGGTGTGGAAGGGGACAAGCAGTTTTGGAGACCCTTGCCCAGGAGCTGGAAACTACAGGTGGCGCGCCTCTAGCTTGGCCTATCACATCCTATTAGTAAAGGAGTTACAGCTGTTACCTTGACCTAGGTCACATTCAAGGGCTGGAGCCGTCACCCAAGCCGTAGCCTGCGGCAAGAACTACAGACAAGCTGCCCTGCCATCACCCTCTTACTCACAGAAGCTTGGAATTTTCTAATAGGATTTCGACTAGGATTGATTTTCCTAGCCACTTCCCACCGCCACAGTTGTGTGATACACCCCCACCCCCCACCCCCACCCCCACCCCCCGCCAAGGCGCCTTTCACTGTATGGCAATAATTCAATGCTTGTCTCTAATCTTTAAGGAGGGAAACAGTGATAACGGTAGCCCGCACTGTGTAATTACTCTTCTTGATAATTCTAAATTAGGGTACATGTTTATTGTTTCTGAGGCTTTGTGCTTTGTTTAAATGGTTCCGTACCAGCACCTAACAGACTCAGTCCTCCCACTGACAGTACAGGCGGAAACGGGGTCTTGGGGCAAGGCAGCTGGCCGGGAGGGTAAAGGCACGATAGCCTCAACCTGAGGCGGAACCCTGGGGTCCACATAATGGAAAGGGAAAACTGGCTCCCTCAAGCTGTCCTCTGACTTGCTCTGTCTCTCTCTGTCTCTCTGTTTCTCTCTCTCTCTCTCTCTCTCTCTCTCTCTCTCTCTCTCTCTCTCTCTCTCTCACACACACACACACACACACACACACACACACTAATAAATAGGTAGATAGATGATAGATAGATGGATGGATGGATGGATGGAAATTTAAAAGATTGCTTTAAAAAGAAAGATACAAAACCAGCTGGTGTCCTAAGGGAGAAGGACTAGGAAGCTTTTTAAAAATAGATTTACGTGGATGGTGTTTCACCTGCATCGCATGTATGCACACCATGTGGGTGCCTGGGACCTGCATAGGGCAGAAGAGGGTGTGGATCCCCTGGAACTGGAGTGACAGGTGGTTGTGAGCCATCATGTGGGTGCTGGGGACTGAACCTGGGTCCTCTGCAAAAGCAACAAGTGCTCTTAACCGCTGAGTCATCTCTCCAGACCCTACACCAGGCATCTTAAAACAGCATGCAGAGTTCATAACCTGGGGGAATCACACCAAAGCCTGCTGGAGTCAGGAAGTGTAGCTAAAGGAGAATGCCTCCCTGTGACTAGCAGTCACTTGATTAGAGTCACCAAACCTCGGGCACCGTGTCTCGGTTTCCCAGCTAGCCAGCAGGAGCAGCCCCTCTGAGCTGTAGGTACACATGGAGTTGGCAGGACAGACCAGAGGTGGACTTCCACAGTGAGGGACAGCAAAGGTTACCTCAGAGCTTCGTGTGCGTGAAATTCTTCCCCAGGCAGACCCCCTTGATCAAATGATAGATAGCTCAAACGGTAAAGCTGTCTCTCCACAAGTGAATTGAGTACTTCAGGAGATAGAGGCAGGAGCTGGGTCACAGACAGGCCAGGATCAGATGGGCCAGAATTTCCCTGTGTCCTGTCCCCTGCCCACCCCCCCACCTCCACCCCCACCATGTAGCCTCCCCGGCTCTGACCCACCTTTCCTAGAGTGTGTGACTGCTGTTCCTTTCCCTTACAAACAGGATGCACTGGGCTGTTTGAAAGGCTGACTCACACTCTGCCCCTAGAATGCATGGATCCCACTGGGACCCATCAGCAGAGTCATGTTGAAGGTCTAGACAAACCAGGGCCACCAGAGAGGGACAGACACGGAGAAGAAGCAGGACTTGGGTGCGGGGCTCTCACACAAGACATGTGCCCTACCATGGAAAAGGCACTGAGATGCCTCAGGCCAGGTCTCAGGTGGCCCTTGTCCTCCATGCTGCTGCTTCAGGGGTCTCCACAGCAAGAATGCATGATGCCCAGGCAGATCTGGGAGGGTCCTCTAATCTGCTGATGGTGTCAAGAGAAGATTCTACACACTCCCGCCCTCCTTCAGAAGCATCTGCTGGGCTGTTTGGTGAGCACCAACAGGGCAGTAGGGAACGCTGAACTTCCTCCATGTCTGTGGTTCACTGGGGCCACCCCATGACTCCTGAGCACAAATGGCCCATCTGTCATTTCTAGAGTAGAGCTCTACTTCAGTGGCTGGGGTGCTCCCTCTAGGGCAGGATCAGGAACGGGTCCTTCCAGGGAGGAGGAAGGGAGCCAGTGGTGAGGGCCCTTCCCTGCTGGAAGTGGTCAGCCTGGGAGTTTGTCCCTGTGCCTTGTCTAACAGGGCTGTAGTAGTGATGGGTACAGGGACCGTTGGACCCCTACTTTCTTCCCAGCTATGGGTACTGGCGCTGCTGCTGCTGCTCCAGTTCCGGTTCTGACCAAGGCTCCCCTCTTCCCTGGGAGCTCAGTTCTCTGCCCTGCCCAAAGGCAGAGGAGGTAACTGCACGCATCCCGCATCCCTCTCAAGGGCGGTTTCCAGAGGCCGACCTTCCCCACGACTCAGCAGCTCATGTAGTGGGAGGTGTGACTGAGGGAACAGGGAGAATCCATTCTGATGAAGGAGGGCTTGGAATGATCTAGAAAAGACTGGGTATGTTCCTCCCATTGAGGGGTTGTTTACTGTGCCTTTGGAGCCGCAGAGACTAGGCTGCTGCAGTGGCAGCTCCCAGGGCTGGTGGCAGGGGTGGCAATGTTGGTGAAATCCTGCCTTACAAGCAGGGTCAGCAGTTCAGCCCTCAGAACCCACCTGTCCTTTGTTTAAGGCGTGGTGCAGTGGCACACACCTGGGGCTCCTGTGCTGGGGACGCAGAGACAGGAGGATTCCTGGGGCTCACGAGCCAGTCACCCCAGACTACTTGTGAGTTCTCGGCGTCAATGTCTTAGGAACAAGGTGGACTGGGGCCAGAGAGATGCCTCAGAGGTTAAGAGCACATGCTGTTCTTGCAGAGGACCTGGGTTCAGTTCCCAGCTCCCACATGGCGGCTCACAGCTGCCTGTAACTCCAGTTCTGGAGGACCCAATGCCCTCTTCTGACATATTCAGGCTTCTGCGCACACACAGGGCACATATATATGTTGAGGTACACACACATTATACATATATATACATGTGTGTGTGTGTGTGTGTGTGTGTGTGTGTATATATATATATATATATATATATATATATATATATATATGGATGGTCCCTGAGGAATGACAGCCAAAGTTGTCCTCTGACTTGCACCCTCATGTGCACACACACGTATGCACATTCATGTACATACATACATGTACACACACGTGAATGAATAAGTAAATTTTAAAAAATAGCTCTGTCAGCACATGCTGTGTGACCTCAGGCAAATCTCTTCACCTCTCTGAGCTTTATCTGTATGCTTCAGTCCAGGTCTACCTTCTGTACCAGGAGAGCCCACCACCTGACTTCTATTTAGTGCAGAGAGCCTCCTCCCTCCACCCTAGGCCCCGCCCTGCTTCTGAAATCACACACACACACACACACACACACACACACACACACACTAGATTCTGGACTAGAGGGAAACCCTTGAAGTTGAAGGACATTGGCCCTCCCCTTTCTGACCCAGGCTGGCTCATTCTAAGGGTAAAAACAACCTCGTGGGCAGACCCCACCCCCACCCCCATCCTTTCTTTGTTTTCCAGATTCCGGGGAAACACCAGGTCCTCGGTGCTTTCCTTCCTGGCTCCCCCACCCTCCTTCCAGAAATCCCCCAACCGCTGCCAAGCTTTGACACAAAGAGAACTGCAGCCTGTGTGGTCACCTAGGCCACAAGCCCTCCCTCCCCCGAGTCAGCACATGACTCCCGGGGATACAGGAGAGGAGTAAGCGAGAACGGGGCAGATACTCTGAGGAGGGCTCAGTGGTCGCCCATGTTAAAGATGCTTTGGGCATTGAGGCCCCTGGCCAGGCTGGGTTCCCCTGTGCATGGCATGGTGGAGCCTACTGTAAGCCCTGTGCTTGTGCGGTGGAGGCACCTGGAGACAGAATCTGGCACCTGACGGGCGTCTGGGAGGCAGTTCTGTCTCTCCTTGGCATTGGTTGGGCAGTAAACAGGGAGTCACACCCACCCTCCAGGCCCCAGGAGAATGTACCACCTGAAGGCCCTCCTCCATCTTTGCTGAATTCAAAGCCTCAGCACACCAGACTTACTGCCCCCAAGGTGAGAGTGGGAGACCTGTGGGTGAGGGTGGGAACCGGGCTGGGGCTGGGGGTGAGCTCAGCAGATGGGTGCCTGGGCTGCTCTCCTCAGGCTGGGGGTTCCGTCACCAGCACCACGCAAGGGAACTGGATTCCAACTGGGGAAGCCCAGACTTGGAGACACACAAGGAAAAGAAAGTCCTGCCCCGTCCATCTTCTCTGCCCAAACTCAAGGCAACCCGGAGAACAAGCCCATACTTTCCACCTTCTCTCCCAGGAAGGGCTGCAGGGACAGAGTCCAGGGCAAAGACTGACTCATCCTGAGTCAGGGATGACACCTCCCAGCCAGCTCTTCTACCCTCCCTGCCTGCCAACAAGCCAGGGCACAGGGCGCCACTCCTTCCTAGGTGACTCCCTCAGTCCCTGATAACACTCAGTCCTTCAACCCCGCCCGAGACGGAGGCCCTCCTCCTAAGGC